AGGCCTTAAAGTATTCTCCTGAGGATGTTGTAAATAAAAAAGTGAAATGAGAGATGCGAAATTTGGATACCAAGTTGTATCCAAATGCGATTCATTTGAGTAGTTTAGTTATTTGTGATGGCTGTTGGGATCGTAAAGACAGGAAGCACCTATTCTCTTGTATCATTCTTGGTCGGGAGAATGTGATCAGGGGTCCTTTGGAGACAAGCGAGTGTATCTTAGTAATGGAAGTGTGCTGTCAAGTGATGGACAGATTCAAGCAAATGTTAAGTGATGGACAGATTCAAGCAAATGCTAAGTGATGGACAGATTCAAGCAAAGTGGGAAAAAAGCTGTTTTCTGGCAGACACAAGACAGTGCTGCCATGGCAGCATGAGTTACAGACTTAGAGTGCTCCTCCGCTCCTAACATGCAGGAAGCCCTCCCTGGGGCCACTCAGGCATCAGACTAGCTCTGGATGGACACGGAATCAGGACCAAACATTTAGGTTTTGTCTACACATACCAAGTAAGGAAGAGGTCAGTGCAATCATACATAAAACATTTCTTTAAAGAAGAAAAATTAAAGTCTTACTTTCAAGCAAATGCAGATTTTATTTTCTATAAAGTAACATAAAGAAATCTTTAGAAAAGTTGCTATTAGCCAGGTGCTGATGGCTCACACCTGTACTTCTAGCTACTAAATAGGCCAAGATCTGGAGGACTGGGACTCCAAATCACTCCAGGAAAGAAAACTTTTTGAGACTCCATCTCTAAAATACCTGCCAAAATGCCAGCTTGAAGGCATGATGGAAGTGTAGAATTCCAGCTAAACAAGGAAGCCAAACAGATATGATGCTTTGAGTTCAAACCCAGGTATTGACAAAAGACGGAGAGGAGAGAAAGTGGAAGAGAGAAAGAGAGAGAGGAAAAAGAAAAGACACTACAGTGTTTTAATGAAGTGTTAAAGATTTTCCTTATGTGATCATTATCCTTCTGTGATCTTCATGTGATAGTCAAGGAATAACAACCAAAACAGAAGGATATACCTAGACTGCAAACACTGCCCTGGGCCTCACCATTTCTATCATGTCGTTTGATTCCCCACACAGCCCTATGAAATGGGATCGAAAGCTTGGGCGATGTCAGGTGCCTGTCCTAATTTGTCATGGCCAGTAAGTGAGAAAGCCCAGCTTCATAATCCAAGGCCATGATTCAAAGTGTATGGAAATAGCTGTAAATTTTAAACAGTGCTAGCAACTGTGTGTTGAAACTCTTCTAAAAATAGCGACCTGGTTATTTCTAATCCTCATAGACTTGGTATAATACAAGCCAGCCAGCAATAGGATACTGATAAATACTGCTTTTCAAAACAAGGTACAGATATGTGATTTCCTTCCTCCTCTGTAGGAGAAACAGGGGCAAAAAAGAAAGGTTACAGGAAATTGCCTCCAAGCCATCAAGGTTTCCTAGGCTTCTAGTTGTCACCAAAGAGAATCCCTTGTTACTAAGGAGACCATACAGACTCCATTAAATTCAAGTACAACACTTGGGTTGCCTGGCTAGGAAAGGCCATAAACGCAAAGGAAAATATTATCATTGCTGAAATCATTTGATGTCTATGACTAATGAGAAAACATGTTGGCAAATTGAATTGTTCAAAGTACCCTAAGGGCTTGGTTAATGTTATGAATTAATAGCATACAGCAGTTTTGTCTGGAGAAAAGGAAAGGAAAGGCATAGATGTTAAACTATTTTTTTTAAGTATCTGCATACTCGAAAGGTCCCACAAGAACCTTGGGCAATCTAGGTCTCTCATCTAATTTTTAATTTAAATTTAATTTCCCCTTCCCTCTCCCTCATAGCTAAATAATGAAGGTTGTGCATTTCGATTCACATAATTCTTGAATTCTAAGCTTTCTTTATCCAACTTCTCAAAAGTCCGAGAATTATCATTGAAGTGTTCCTGACAGTGTGCCAGCCCTACAGGTCTTTAGGGCCAGGCCTTTGTGACAAGTGTTGTGCCCTTCACGGAGCCCAAAGGAAGGCAGGAGTGGAAAGGATGGGAGGGAGCCAAACGCCTCATCCCTCCTGACTCAGGTCCCAGAGGTTAACCGAGGCCTGCTTGAAGATGTTCATCCAGGCTCTGCTTGACAGTCCCCAGTGGCCGGTCTTCACCAGGATTCTTCTCTTGTCATGGATGGATGTGGCTGTAATTTTGGTTGGGGGGGGGGGAGAGGGGGCGGTACTTGCTTGCATTACGATGAAGCCTGAATCTTCGTGTTTTCTGTCTAGTTCTTTTATCTAGAATAACACTGTTTGACTCAACTTGCTCTTCTCTTGAATGGTCAGTCCCTTAGAAACCTGAAGTCAGCAGTACTTCAGCACTGACAGTACCCAGGAAACTCTCACTCCCAAACTAAATACTTTCAATTTCTGCCTCAGGTTTGAAGAGCAGCATACAATAAGAAAAAGCAGAAGGTACAATTACTATAAGAGAAAGACAAAAATTGGTAGTCTAAAAATTAGACCTTTTTAAAATGAAGTATCATGTTTCTTCTCTGACAAGTTGAGGGGCTGCAGCTGTAGATCTTAATGCTGAACACCTGTTCACATCTACGACTCTCCCTCAGGGCAGTCCTTAGCACCAAAGCTAACAAAGCAAATGAGGAGGAGGAGAAGGAAGGGAAGGAAGGGAAGGGAAGGGAAGGGAAGGGAAGGGAAGGGAAGGGAAGGGAAGGAAGGAAGGAAGGAAGGAAGGAAGGAAGGAAGGAAGGAAGGAAGGAAGGAAGGAAGGAAGGAAGGAAGGAAGGAAGGAAGGAAGGAAGGAAGGGAAGAAGGGAGGGAAGAAGGGAGGGAAGGAGGGAGGGAGAAGTTGAAAGTCTTAAAAGATTTTTGAGAAGTACTGTGTCTGTATTCTGTGTTCCTACATCCTATCTGTCAAATCATCCCGTAAAAATGGAAATGTAGACACTTCCTTAACTATGTTACCCACAGTAGCTTGTAGTAACAAGCCTGTTAATCCTCACCAAATTGCATTATTTTTTTTTCTTTTCTTTATTTACTATCAAAGTCTGCTGTGAGAAGAGTTCTAGAGAAACACTAGCATATGACTGGTTGTGACATGATTTGAGAATGTGAATATTAAGAATTAAGGGAGTGGCAATATTAGGAAATAAAGCTTCAATTCTTTCTCTTCCCAAGATCTTATTATGAAAACGTCTGAGCATATAGACATGTTGACATAATTTTATAGTGAATAGCAGTAACTCAAGCCAACTATGAACAGTTTATGATTTTCAACATATCTCACATCTGTTTGGCTCTCTACACATCTGTTGACCCATTATTGTTCAATACATCTCAGTGCCACTTGCCTGTATCACTAGAGCTAATCCACAACACTCCAACATGCATATCACTATTAGTTCTTTCTTGAGTCTCTAAATTCCTTCTTGCCATACATTTATGTATTTTTTCCCTGTCGCTATCTACTCCAAAGTTCTAAGAGGAAAAAGGCAAGTCTAAGAATCTGAGTTTGAAATAATCTTGAAATAGCACGGGGCAAGCCCCTGGTATGGCTCAAGGTGCAGATTAGCATGACAAGTCCATCATTTGCTATGAAACACACAGCGAGCAAATGCCCAGACGTATTTCCTGATCATCTCATTGAGTTCATCTACATGGCAAGCCAGATTATGAAGAGGGTTTTAGTGAGTTGAGACTCAGAGGAAGGGAAACAGTGTTCGCCGTCTAGAGGCTTCTCAGGCCTGAAGCTTCATGGGTCAGCCTGCTCAGTGCCTGACACCAGTGGATGCTTTAAGGTGGCACAATGGCAGCAACGTTAACCACCACCCTAGGAGAACTGCAGCAAAGCCAGGCGCACCCGAGCTGCGGCCCAGAGCACTTCTCTGCCCTCCTGTCCCTAGGAAGAAACTCCTTGAAACCTGTCCCTTTGAGTAACACACTATTTTCACTCATCAATTAAGGTTAAACAATAGCTGTCTTGATTATCTTATGTTGGGTCTGGAAGACAAATCTTCCCCCCCCCCTTCCATGTGGGGATTAAAGTCAGTTTCTCTCATGCTAGGAAAGTGCTCTAATGTCAAGGTATAACCTATTTTTAGAATTAGAGGCTTCTTGTCAGTCTAATCCTATCTGTGATAAATTGATTTCACTGGCTTTCCTCTCAAAGAACAAAGCCATTGCCTACCACCCAAGTGTGCTCCCTTCGGGGGAAGAGTAGACTCCTTCCTACTGAAGCAAAAATGATCCCTTTCCCTGCTAAGATTTACATTGTCAGGCAATGTTAATGCTCCGTTTTCTGGGCTTCTTAATTGCAAGCCACAAAGACTTGGCAAGGTGAGCTCTCCAGAGGAGAGGCAGCTACCCAAGAGCAACACAAGGGTACAAACACAGTGCTTGTCATTGTCATTGCAGACGAAGCCACTTTTGACAAATCGCATCCACTTTGAAATCCATGAAGGGATCATCTAGTCAAAAAAGGCTCAGGGTGAATTCTCTGATTATGTAACAACTTCCTCCAATGATGCAGACTTAGAAATCAGACCGTTTTTATAGGAAGCTTTTCCCGTCCTCTGCTGCTTATAAAATCAGTCTTATCTTGGACAATAATAAATAAGCATCTTCACTACCCGTCAGTGCCTAGGTGATACTTGTATGCATTCGCACACACTGGAAAGTAAACTTCTCAAGTCCTCTTCATGATAAACAACCAATCCACAGGGCTCAGATCCACATTCAAAATCCTTCTGGAGGTAAAAGATCCTGCGATGCACACAGTGGGCTTTTATGGCCAATTCTCTAACAGAGACTACACATGCACTCTGAATCCCAGACCTCAAACGGCACTCAGTCTAGAAAAAGGGAGCTTTTGATCAAAGCGGGGCTTCGCAGGCAATGTTTGCCCAGACATCATTAATTCTCCTGATTCCTATTCCTTTGATGTTTCAGTCTCTAGTGACGAAAGTTCTTCTTGTTCTCCTTATTGTTATTTTGAAGAAACTAAAGCACAGGAAGAAAGTGGAAAAGCTACAAACTGATTTGGCCACAGCTAAGCAAGAGGCTGCCTTCACTGTCCTGGAACTCAAAGAGAAGATAAAGAGGCTCTGTGAGGGAAAGCCAGCCCCTAGAGGTCAGTATTATCACGTGATGGGTACACATGGGGGCCCCTGGTCCCGGGTGATGCACACAGCTCAGCTCACTTCAGTGGCAACAATACAAAAAGCCAGGCCTGTGCACAGGGCCACACATCATGACCCGCAGCATCTGGCCTGACCTCAGCACATGAATGCCAACTCCAGGCTGGAGTCTCTTGCCCTTTTAGAGGGAGAGAATGCATAGTTCTTCATCAGAGGGAGGTCGATGAAGAGGGGAAGAAGTCGGCTGGAGTGGATTTGAGCCTTTACTGCACAGGCTTAGTGGCAGAGAAGGAGAAGCAAAGCGGAAGGAGTACCTGATGCGTTGAGCCATGGACCCTGGTCGTGGGGGTCGGGCCGGGGGTAGGACAGGGGCTCATTGGAAAGTACAGACTGGTAGACAGAGACTCAACAAGGAAGAAGATGCTTCCTACCCCTAGATGAATGGACCAGAGAACAGAGAAGGATAGTTAGGGGTAAAGTCTACGTAGCTGCAAAAAATTTTTAATAGCTACATTGATTTTGATGAAAACACAAAGAAAAGAGATAGACGCACAGGAGGGGAAAAAAACCCCACTCAATAGGAGTTCGCCTTCAACACTTGGTGCCAGGCATTTTGCTAAGTTTCCCGTGGTATGTGCACTTACAGATCACACAAGACTGAAACAGAGGTGTAGAGGTATGCATTGCTTTCTCCCAGGTTAGACACGGGTGGGCACTTTTGGGGTCACCAACAGCCACAGCAGCAAAATACGCTAACTAGGAGATATTGCTGAGCCTGGCCAGAGCGAGGACGTCTTCCCATGCTGTGTCACCGCAGTCGCTACCGTAAGTTCTGCCTGTTGATCTCCCGCTAAGCGGCGGCCCCTGGGATGAGCGTCTCCTCTGATACACGCCACTCCTGCAAAACCAGGAACACACCATTGTTCTCACGCCGCCTTCCTCTATTACTCATAAGCAGAGCTGGAAAACGAGGAGCCACTTGGAAACACATGGCGGGGGGGTGGGAAGAAGTGGGTGATGTGGTAGCTTCAGGAAGGAGATACTCCCAGCATCTTGACCCCATAGCAAACCTTTGAAAATGGATTTGGTTTTTCTTTTGGACTTGAAATAAGACTTTCCCAGGGTTTAAATGGCATGTAACACTGTCACCTTGAAACATATGCTGAAGGTCAAGACAAAATAACATAAAAACCACTCATAAATTTGCCTTTATCAGTAAAAATCCTCCACTAATTAGAGAGTTTGGGATTTAACGCTTTAGTAGAGAACTTGCCTAGAATGTCTAAGGCCCTGGATTCAGTCCCTAGTACCACACACACACACACACACACACACACACACACACACACATACACACACACACACACACACACACACACACACACACACACAGAGATCAATTAGCCAGAAGTGTAGCTATATGGCTCCAGTGCTATAGCACCAGCCTTGACAGAGAAACTAAGAGATAGTACCCAGACCCTGGAACCAGTATACACACACACACACACACACACACACACACACACACACAAACACACACACACACACACACACACACCTTCATTCTTAGCTATCGAGGCCATATTTTCAATTGGTTACAGATGTAGAACACTGAAAATGATTGTAAAACATTCTAGAGAAAATTTTCCTATTCAGAAACTCTCAGCTTCTCACTTGCATGTTAAATATTGTAAAAAAAATAGTATTACAAGGTACCTCACTTGATTTCATTTTTTTTACAAAAATAGTACCATTTATTTACTTATTTTTTTTGTCAGTCATGGGGCTTGAACTCTGGGCCTGGGCGCTGTCCCTCAGCTCTTCAGCTCAAGGCTAGTGCTCTACTACTTGAGCCACAGCACCACTTCCATTTTTTTTTCTGCTTATGTGGTGCTGAGGAATCAAACCCAGGGCCTCATGCATGCAAGGCAAGCGCTCTACCACTGAGCCACCTTCCCAGCCTCAGTACCATTTATTTTTGAATGACAGTTTGATCTACTGGATCATAATTTAAACAATGCAGAGCACTAATTATTTCAGGGACTGGAGAAAATATAAACTCTATCTTTCTTTCATTGGCCATTTTCCTCTTTCTGTTAATAAACAAAATTTGTTGTACTTATGAAATAAATTTTAAACACTTCCAGGGACCAATTATAGATCTAAACAGTGCCTCCCCTTCTAGAATGTTCTACCTCTCTTATTTGATGGACATATTGACTTATTGGACCAACATATAGTACTAACATCTTAAATATCTGTACCTTCTCACTCTTTTTCTAATGCCTCAACCTAAATTCAGTAGTCCAAGAGCTTGCCAGGCCATTGCGATCTTAGCGTAATAGTACTTTGCTTTTTCAGAGACATGGTCACCTTGCTCCACCTCTCAATTCACTTGAAAATAGTTCAAAAATATATTTAGGAACTTCGGAACACAATGACCTTTATTTTACCACAGACCAAATAAGACCAACCTCCCCTCCCCCCCACACTGCTAGATCTAAAACACTACCTTCCCCATTTTCCCCGTATCCTTTTTTAAAACATTTGTTTGGACTTCTCTAACCTCTGTTTACAAATGACAGATGCTCCAGCCCTACTAGTTTAAGAAAAAGGAGGATTTACGCACATGTAAATTTACCAAGAAAGGGCATGTCTTTAGCCTTCTGGTGCAATGGATTCGGGGTCTCCAATACCATTAGGACACTGACACTCAGTTCTGCTTCTCCCTGCCTTGATTCCTCATTCTCTTCTTAGGCTACATAGCAGGACGCTAGAAGCATAGATTTAAGCATCTGTGGCCTGAGCTTCCTATCACTTTGTCTCCACAGAAGAAACAAAGTCTTTTTATACCAACTCTAGTTGGGAAAGTCCAAGGAAGAACTCTGGCTTGAGCTGGACATGCACCCCTGGCTATGAGCCAGTCTCTATGGCTATAGACGGGGAGCTGTGGCTCAACCAGTTCTGGTCATGCATCTAACACTGTGGGGCTGCAGGAAATAAGATTGGGAAAGAGAATGTTCTGCCTAATATCTCCCACCAGAAGCAGAGATCTGGGCTGGGAGAAAAAAAAATCTCTTCTTTAAAGGAAAAGAAGAAAGACAAAAGCAACATCTACAATGTATTCTCAGCGAGTGATTTCGTTCAAATATAATGTAATATAATGTCACCCATCCCATAGGCGATGTTTATGACAGACTTCCCAATGAATAAAATCCTTTTAATGAGTCAAGAAGTAAATGCCTAGTGGTAAAAGTTTAGCCAATTTTCCTACAAGTTTGGGGAATGGCTGGCAGAAGGGTCATAAAAAGGCCTGTGAAATCATTTAGTGCGTATTGAGACAGACACATTCATTCTTGTAAGCTTTGTTTTCGCTAGCCACACCAGTTTGTCCGTACTGATCATTTTGTATGGCCCCTAGCAGGGAAAAAAGGTTTCCTCACCTCTGCAGAGATAGAGAATCAGTCGCCTTCTTCATTTTCTAAATAGTCTTTAGGTTTTAAGTCTTCTGATTCAAAAGTGTGTAGAATAGTAAGACTATCTATGAGCATTCATATTCAAATTGATGAAAGACTGATAAACCAGATATTTCTTCTTATGTGAACACAGTACCCTATTGGCTATGTTCTTAAATTACTTCTAAGGAAATAACTTATTGAAATCCATGGAACGTTCAGCTGAATAGAATAATGTCTTTATTATAAAACTGGCCCAGCAAGAAACTTACATCCTAAGTGCTGTTTGTTTATCCTACTTTGCACAAATAATCACAACCCGAGGCAGATTCCTCTGTCATCTCCACAGCCTGAATCTCAAGTGCTTATAGACTTAATTACCAGCTGAATCCAGTGAAATGCCTATTGTGCTCTTTCCAAAGTCTGAGTCTACCTCTTTGTAAATCTCAGCATGCAGAAATGTAAGGTTGACTTTGAGAACAAGTTTTGCTGCTTGCTTTGGTTTAGAGTACACAATTAATATTCGTTTTTTTCTTAACCTCTGTGACCAAAACTCCTGACAGAACAACTCACAAGTTTTGAAGTTTTTTAACCCATAGTCTTTGCTTTATTGATTCTGGGCCTGTGAAGATATAGAACAGGCTTGGTGGAGAGTATGTAGCAGAAGTTGGTCACCTCATGGTGAACAGGAAGCAGAGAGAAATGGGGAAAGGGCAAAGGTCAAAGCTTCTGTTACAAGGAGATGTTAAGGGTGTAGGGCTTAGGGAGTGAGGCAAAGGTCATGGAACTGGATTATGGCAATTGTTGCACCCTATTGTTAATTTAGTAAAACCACTTCTAAACTATAAACATGTTGAATTCTGTTGCATGAATTTCATCTTAGTTACTAACAGTGATTGAAACAAATTCTCACTAGCTTGTAATAACTAACCATTCTAGCAAGAGCAAGTGTATTTTAAAGTATCTTGGATCTAAATAAAATCTTTACTTGGTAAAATTCCAAGAATTTAGAAAGAGGTCCTTCTCATATTTATCTGAGTGAACAGATTTTTCAGTCTTGAATAGTTGTCCATTTGAGGGTGTATGTTCTTCCTTCCTCCTTTCTTCTTCCTTTTTCCCTCCCTTCTCTCCTTCCCCTCCCTCCCTCCCTCCCTCCCTTCCCCTCCCTCCCTCCCTCCCTCCTTTCCTTCCTTCCTCCCTTCCTTCCTACCTTCCTTCCTTTTCGTTTGGTGGTACTGGGATTGAACCCAGGGCCTCATACTTAGCAAAGCAGTCATACTACCACATGAGCCACACTCCTACCTCTTATGTAGGTGTTCTAGAAAATACCACCCTCTCTTCAGTATACCTAGAGTTTTCTAAGAAAATGACAAGGGCAGCCCTACAATCTCACTGCTTCAACTCCTGTTTCTTAAAAGCAATCAAACAGGCATAATAACTTTAGGGTGAACTTTTTAATATAAATTTCTGAGGAGTTCCACATTGGCCTCATGGAAATAGCTTGTATCTACTGGACTATATGTTATTTATTGCATTTA